ATCTTTAACACACTTCTCCACAGTTGATAAAGCTATCAAAGTTCTATGAAATGAATATTTTAGCAACTCAGTTATACATTTGATTGATAGAAAATTACCCAACTATTCTATACAGAATGTTATGAATTTAAGTCACATTGAATATTTACCAAAATTGACTGTATTCAAAGTGACAATGCTCATTTCAATAAATATTAAAAATGTTTTCTTTGACTAATGTGTAAATAGCCAGAAATAATTATAAAAAACTAAAATGCACTTTAACATTTTGCAGTTAAGTAAGAAATAAATCATACCTGAATTAAGAAAATGTTTATAACCGAAAGGTAAGGAAAATAGTATAGTTAGGTTCTCATTTGAAAATTTATACACTTTAATATCATATACAATAAAAAAAGATTTAAATCTATAATTTAAGACACAGTTCCATGAAGTTAGACAAATAAAAACAAATTTCACCTGTGACATTAAAAACAAAAGGGGATATGATAAAAGCTTAATTGATGCTGTCAAATATAGGGACACTCAAAAGCAATGAAAATTTGATTCTTTGACAACTAATAAAACTGATAAGCCTAATTTAAAAGATCATATTTCCATAAAGTAATATTCATACAACAACTGCAAAAACACAAATGTATTTGGAATTGCTACAAAGTTAAAAACTTGTCATATAATTTTAAAATATGCACAGGCCAAAAAACTACAAGTGGTAGTGAAAGAAATGAAAGACCACATGGAATGGACACTACTCAGTTGAGTAGAGCACGTAGAGTGGACGGCCTTTCCAACAAAGGGTGGGAGCCAGCCCCGTGGGCAGAATAAGGAACCTCTTCTTGAGATGGAGTCCCGCAGGAAGGGAGAGAGAAAATGAGACACAAGCATTATTTTATAGTATCATCACCAAGAACTTTCCAAACCTGACAATAGATACCAGGATAGAGATCATTAAAGCTCATAACTTAGAAAAGAATCGGGTCAAAATGAATCACAGGATGAACTCTAAAATGCAAAACTCTGAAACTTTTAGAAACAACAGAAGAAAGTTGTGGATGTAGAGTTATCTAATTGTCCTTAATCGCTATCCATAAATGGCAAAATTGATAAATCAGCTTTATAAAAAAACTATCCTTTTTCTTCGTGAAAGAGTATAAGATAAGCAGAGACAAGCTACAGACATTGACAAAGTGCTTGCAACCTTGAATCTGGCAATCGGCATACACTACACTATGTAAAAAAATTCTCAGTATCAGAAAGTGGGAAAGGAATAAAACATAAAGCAATCCAGTTGCCCAGGGAGCAAACTACGTGAGCAGACCTGCCATGGGAAAGGCTTTCCAGATGGCACTGAGTACCACACATGATGTTGGCTAAATGCAAATGAGGGGCCCCCAATATTAGAGAAGTTGAAAACACCACCCCCTGTGTGTCTGGGGATGCAGAGATGTGGTCTGCTCGCACATCGGTGGCAGGAGCAGCCAGGCTGAACACAACCTGCAGTGGCTTTAAAGACCCAGTTATGGCCCTGGAGCTGTATTTTCCCAGAGGATGAAGACTCAAGTTCACGAAAGACTTGTGCATGAATGTGCAGAACAGTTTTATGTGTCATCTGCCCACATGGTGTTGACCAGATGATCGGTTAAGCAGGTTGCAGTATGTCCACACCAGGACATACAACTCAACAGTAACAAAAAACAGACCGTTGATATAACAAGCTTAGATGAATGTGCAGGGAATTAAGTGAATGAGTAAAGTATATCCCACAATACTGAACACTCTGATTTTATTTTTACATTTTAAAATGTGTTAGCATGCTTTAGTTATTTGCTGGTTCACTCTGTACATACCTGCAACAGCCCAGGCTGATCAGATCGAAGCTGGGAGCTGGAAACTCAATCCAGGGCTCACACATGGGTGGTAGTGACAACTACTTGAGCCTCACATGCTGGCTCTCAGGGTCTGAATTAGCAGGAGCTGGAATCAGGTCTCAGACTCAGGCACTGGAATATGTTGTTCAGGTATGCAGATGTCCCAAGTTCTGTGTAACTGCTGAACTAAACTCAGCCCCATATGCCACTGCTAAATGGATAAAATTTAGAAATGGAGACATATTAGTGAAGGTCAGGAGTGAAACAGTGGATAAGGAGGTGAATTTTGCTTTAAAAGTTGCAATGTGATGGTGCAGATGTAATTTTGGTACTATAAGCAGTAGTGGGATTGCTGGATCATGTGGCAAGTCTATTTCCAGTTTTTTTTTTTTTTAAACTGGTCACTGTTTTCCACAGTGACTTCACTAATGTACATTCCTATCAACAGTGTATAATTGTTCCCACTTGTCCACATCCTTGCCAGCATTGTTATTCTCTGTTTTAGATTTCAGCCATTCTGACAAGGGTGAGGTGCTATCTCATCCTGGTTTTGATTTGCACTTCCTTGATGGGTAGTGCTGTTGAGCACTTTTTCACGTATTTGTTGGCCATTTGTATTTCCTCATTTGAAAACTGTTGAGGTCCTCTGCGCATTTCTTAACTGGATTGTTTTTTGTTGCTGTTGTTGAGTTTTTTAAGTTGCTGATATATTCAGAATGTTAATCCTTTGCAAATGTGTTTTCCCATTCTGTCATATGTGTCTTCACCATATGGAGTGTCCCTATGGCTGTGCAGAAGCTACTGAGTGTCATAGAATCCCAGTTGTCTAGTTTGGGTTTTGTTGGCTGTGTTTTTTGGAGTCTTATTCAATAAGCCACCATTGACACCAGTGCCTTGGAGTGTTTCCCTACATTTCTTCCAGCCACTTCATAGTCTTAGGTCTTAAATTTAGATCTTTGATCCATCTTGAGTTGCTTTTTATCTTGAGAGGTAAGTATCTAATTTCATTCTACTTTTTTTTTTTAATTTGACAGGTAGAGTTAGACAATGAGAGAGAGAGAGAAACAGAGAGAAAGGTCTTCCCGCCACTGGTTCACTCCACAAATGGCCGCACTGGCCAGTGCTATGCCGATCCGGAGCCAGGTGCCTCCTCCTGGTCTCCCATGTGGGTGCAGGGGCCCAAGCACTTGGGCCATCCTCCACTGCCCTCCCGGGCCACAGCAGAGAGCTGGACCAGAGAGGAGCAACCGGGACCAGAACCTGGCACCCACATGGGATGCCAGCGCCACAGGCAGAGGATTAACCAAGTGAGCCATGGCGCCGGCCCCTTCATTCTACTTTTTTGCCAACACCATTTGTTGAAGAGATTATCCTTTCTCCATTATATTCTGGACACTTATGTCACAAATCGGTTGGCTGTATGTATATGGATTAATTTCTGGGCTCTCTACTCTGCTCCCTTGATCTATATGTTGGTTTTGATGTCAGTACCATGCTATTTTAATTACTATACCTTTGTAGTATGCTTTGACGTCAGGTATTGTGATGGCTCTAGCTTGATTTTTTTGTTGTTGTTGTTTTGCTCAGTATCATTTTGGTTTATAGCAACACTGCTCACAATAGCCAATATATGGAATGAAGCAAGGTATCTCTCATCAAATGAAAGGATAAAGGGAATGTGGTATATAACTGTACATACACAATGAAATAACATTGAAATGTAAAAAGAATGAAATTCTATCATTTGCATTAAAATGGCTGCAAACAGAGGGCATCATGTTGAACAATAAAGTATACATAGCGTAATTTCATTTATGGAAAGTTTATTTAAAAGTAGGTAAAAACTGTGTGGGCCAGGTGGATCACAGGGTGGTGACAAGGGGGTTATGAAAAGGTGGCTGGGGCTGGTGATCCTCTGTGTGTTGACCTGTGTGGGGACTGCCTTATACAACTCCCACGCAGTGGACGTGGAGGAACTGTGCCCTTCCTGGTTTGCTACACTTCAATGAAATGTATGAATAGGGAAGAAAAAAAGTCTGTCTTCAGATCAAACAAGCAAACAGAACAGCCCAACAAAAAAGACAGTGTTGCCAACAAAACACATTTTGCAAAAGAAACTCATGTTTAGTTACTGCACATAGCTCACGGAAATGCTCTTCTCTCCAGTGTGTGTCCGTGCAGCATGAGTTACATCCCACCTAATGACAGTTGTTCCTCTTACTTTGAAGAATCAGGTGTTCAGTGCAGCCCAGATAAGCACGTGGGGTTGGGAGACGGGTGAGGTGATTGATGGGGCCTATCATGTGTTCTTATTCTTGAAACGACTCCGCTGAAAGCAAAGCTTCCTTTTTGATTAGGGGCATTTGTTTTGGTTGAATTGATTTTTTTCTTACACTTTTCCTATTTCAACACGCTTTTCTGTCAGCATGCTGACTGCAGTCAATGAATTTAGTGTTTCTTTTCACTGGCTGACAGCAGCTGCTGTGTGCCTGTTTTGTTAATGCACAGTGAATGCTCCATTGAGAGTTCCATTTGGTTTGACCTGGACATTAATATGCCGAGGGGAAGTTCAATCAATGTTGCAAAATCCATTTCAGCTATGCGTGATGTTCTTCTTTTCAGTATTCTCTGAAGGTATGATTATCTTTAATATATGCTTAAAAGAGATATTGTGATTAAGGTGCGGGATAATGCTGTCCTGGGCATCAATTGAACTGGCACGATTTCTCATCTGGGGAGTGCGTTCCCTTCCATGTTGCGGTTGTAGAGAGTCACACAGCAGTAGGCAGCACCTGCCTGTCACGTAGCATGGACAGTGGTCCCGTTTCTCTGGGACTGTCCCAGTTTTAGTACTACAAGTCCTGTATTGTGGAAGCCCCTCAGTTCCAGGGACGTGGGACTAAGTTGATTTTAAAACATAAGACACAAATCTGTGGTGGTAGAACAGGACAGTTACTGTAAAATGCCAGTGACATTGATGTTTCAGTGCTCACACAAGTTCAAGTGGCTGTAGATTCCTTAAGGGAGGGTCTTACATGCGTCTGTGTATATATGCTTGATTGTTTGCTTCAAGGTGGACGTAGATCCGTTTGTTGCCCTCAGTAAAGGATTTCTTCTTTCTCCTCCGTGCAGACTCACAGGGTCCAGTGTTCCTGACCTCATTGTGAGCATGAGCAGCCAGATGTGGCTGCACCTGCAGTCGGATGACAGCATTGGCTCTCCTGGATTCAAAGCTGTTTACCAAGGTATGAGGGCAGCAATGCTACACGTGTTCCAGATCCACGCAGTGTGTATGTGTTGGGTGTAATAAGGTCAGTAGGTGAGAACAGTGTTTAGGAGTTGGGACTGATTGCAACTTTTGCAAAGTCCTACTTGATGTACCTGCTGGGAATGGGGATTTTAATCTTTGAAAGCTCGATTTTGTTACCTGTGTGACTGGAAGTGCAACTGGTGCAGCAGGGACAGTGACTGGTTCTTGTCTCAAGAAAAGTGTTTGAAGGAGTGACACATACTGGCGGTAAACAAACCTGTAAGGTTAGTGAGGGAGTGCTGGGCCGATCATCAGAACACTGAGTGCCCCATCTGTGCACGGTCTGTGTTTTTGTGGGGGCAGGGCCATTTTTCCTCCCCCACTTCCTTTTTCTGGCATTTTGCCAGATTCCCTCCTGGGGCCTCACTATGCAGTGTTACCAAGAGAAAAGGTCGCTGGGAACGGGGTGAGTGAGATTCCGTCCTCTGGGACATCTGGGGTAGGCTAGGGCCCCTCCCTGATGTGTTACTGGGTAGGAAAATGCCTGGACCCTGGCAGTCCCTTTCAGTGTTCGCCTGCAGGGGCAGGGATGTTTTAGGTGTGGGACCTCCTCTTCTATGTCATGGGGCAACATCTGATGTGCAGGTGTCAAGGGCCCTCAAGGCCCTGATCCAGTGGCACAAACTTCCCATTTCTTCCTTTTTCAATTTGTTCCTCACACACATGCAGACCCACATCTGTCTTCCTGCCTAACAATTTGACATGTTACAGGCTATTTTTGTCAATATGTACATGAGAGTAAGCATGAAAAGGAAGCTGGGAACACACACATGTTTGTGTATTGCTGAGGGAAACTGACTAATAAACCATCTGCATTCTGGATTATTTTGCACCCCCCTCAAGAGCCAGGACCCTTAAGTCCTCTGTGAGGGCCTGTCCAGATAGGTGCAGGACTGTCTAAGTTAGCTGTTACTCTAAGCTCTGTTTTTGTTTGTTTGTTTGTTTGTTTGTTTTTTCCCATTTAAAGCCAATAGGGACTGACAGGAGAGGCGTTCAGACTTCATAATCTTCAGATTGGTTCTAAAGCCTAGCCAGGTATGTGTGAGGCCAGACCTATCCATGTGGTACTGAAAGAGATATCACAAGGGAGGTGTGAACCCCCTCAAGGGAGGCACCACACTGACTCCCAGAACCCGGCTGAACTAGGAAGAGAACTGGTCTGAACAGGAGGCTAATACAGAACAGGCAGTGTCTCTACATGGAAATTTACAGTTTCACCTACAGTGTCACTGGCCTTAGGCCACCCTCTCAATAGCAGTAGTTAAAATTGGAACCTGGGTAGAATGAAGGGCCTTTAGCTGCTTGCCTAGTACCCTGGCTCCTCATATGAGAAACAGAAAGCTTGGGGTGGTCTGGACTTGTTGGGTCCCCTTGATGGCAGATTACCATGTAAAGCAGCCATGAATGGGCCTGCCACCTATCCTCACATGGCTGCTGCTGCCCAGCTCCTCATCTTCCTGCTGGTCTCTGTTACAGTAGACCACGGAGGCAGCCTCTATGATGTCAGTCAAGGCGGTGCTCAGCCCATCCCTAGTTGTCAAAGATTTCTGTTAATATCAGAGTGAGCTAGAAAGCTTTGGTCATGGGAAAATTCTGTGAGTTAAAACAGTGCCTATGAGGAGAACTGTGACCTTCAGGTAAGATCAATTGTAGTGATCTGACTATATGTTTTGAGGTCGTCAGTGAGACTTCCTATCTGCCCCTCAATTAGGTTTAAAAGGGGAGTTCTGTCAATTTACCATGTGCACAGAAAAATAAATCTAGCTGCAAAATCATTTCGTGGTTTAATCTCATTTTCTGGCTATGCTGTTTGGTCCTCTGTATTGTGGCTAGGTATTATTACATAAAGGATTAGTCATCCTTTTTATAGGGTCTGGGGATCAAACCGTACATTATAGTGGAGAGTCCTGTAGAATAGAGTCAACTTCCCATGTTGGGGAGAAGAGAGGAGAAATGAGGCAGCAAGTCGGGTCTCCCTGATGGCGTCGCCTGACTTCCCGGGCTTTCAGATTTGACCAGTGCTCACTGTGCAGCCTGACTCACAGCAGAAGCTGTGGCAGACATCTCTGCCATCCCTAGGCTTCCAGATTTTCAGCAGGTAGCAAGCAGGGGCTGGGCCCGGGCCGGGCTTAACTAGTCATGTGACCCGTAAGTTCACACTAGAACTTACCATGTAACTCAAAATTGAGTTTTTTGATTCATCTGCTAAGTTTTCTGGCTTCCTGATTTTCATCATCAGCCTGTGGATACTAGGGCTTTCTTGGGCTCCTGGAACACAGCTATCCAGTATCTGCTGCATAGCCGGCTCCAGTCGTATCTAAGGCTGTTTTGGTACCCTTCCACCCTTTTGGCTGGACCTCCGTTGATCCAGATTTTGAACCAAAGCGCCTTGTAATTCAGTGTTAGCTTGGCTGAGCCTATGTCAGCCCCCCTTTAAAGAATCTGGCCTTCAAGCCAGAGACTGGAGCAGCTGGAACAAAGCATGCTCGTAACTGAAGTTCAGCATCATTTCACATCTTGGCCACTCTTTTAGTATAATCACAGTAGCCCAATTGGATATCATCTCTACAAGATCAGATATATCCTTTGACATTTCCAGGGGCCCACCTGGAAATAACAGAGTCCAAAGATTCAGAACCTTGGTTTTCAGAAAGCCTATTAAAGATGCCAAGAGAAGTTAAAGTATCCAAAGTGGAATTCCTTAACACTGTGAAATAATATCCATCCATTTAGGGTGACTTTGGTAAAGTGACCAAATATTTTTAAATAAATGCTTATTTAAAGATAATTTTAACTTTTTAGACTCAGTGCTTTCTAACAATCAGAACTTAAGAAACATAAGAGAACACATTAGATTACTTCAACAGAACACAAAATCTTTGTCTCTTTGGTCATCAAATAAATCAGAAATAAAAACCTTAAATGTAAGAGTTAGCATATGAAACCACTGGGTAATATGGAACAGTTTATGGATTACAATGGCTTCCCCCCCATAACTTCCTTCCCACCCGCACCCCTCCCATCTCCCGCTCCCTCTCCCATTCCATTCACATCAAGATTAATTTTCAATTATTTTTATATACAGAAGATCAATTTAGTATATATTAAGTAAAGATTTCATCAGTTTGCACCCACACAGAACATAACATGTAAAATACTGTTTGAGTATTAGTTATAGCATTAATTCACATAGTACAACACATTAAGGACAGAGATCCTACATGAGGAGTAAGTGCACAGTGAATCCTGTTGTTGATTTAACAATTGAAACTCATTTATGACATCAGTAATTACCTGAGGCTCTTGTCATGAGCTGCCAAGGCTATGGAAGCCCCTTGAGTTCACCGACTCCGATCTGATTTAGACAAGGTCATAGTCAAAGTGGAAGTTTTCTCCTCCCTTCAGAGAAAGGTACCTCCTTCTTTGATGGCCCGTTCTTTCTGCTGCTAACAGCACACATGTCCATATTTTTATTTATCTTTACCCAAGTTTTAATTAGCAACTCTTCCTAGATGACTTAAGACACTGAGATATTGAATAATGCCACAAAGGACAAAAGTATACTTCCATGTTTTTAAGTAACTGATAAGGATAAATATAGCACGTCTAGAACAGCAAACACAGGCACTAGTGTATGCTAACAACTTTGAAAATATTTTTATCCTTAAAAAATTAAAAACAAATTTAAAGCATATCAAAGACACATGTAAGCCAAGTGAACCAAAGGGCATTTGGATGAACATTTTTCTGAACCAATCTGTGTTGGCTCACTTTAGTGTAACAGTGTAAAGGCTTGCATATACAGAATTTACTCTCATTTTTTTATAAAACAACTCTAGCTGGAAAACAGTGACATGAGTACAACGTAAATTTGGCATCTTTTTTTTAACCTTACAATATACTTTATATAATCTGAAATGACTCAGACAGCCATTATCTCACCAAGTTGGAGTCTTATCCATTGAGAGTTCCAGGAATCCGATTGGAAGCCCCAAAATCAGAAGACTCCGTTTAGAACTTTAATTGTCAGAGAGTCCAACTGTTTGGTCAAACATTTAACCTGAACATTTTAACCACAGCTGTGGGTCAAAGCTGATCAGAGTTAAGGTAATCACTCAAACATTAAAAATACATAACGTAAGCTACTCTAAGACTCCATTCTCCCAATCAAGACTCAATAATAGCAACAGAAAAACAAACCCTTCAAGGAACATGAAAACTCTCATTACCTAAGTCAATTACAATAGCATGGAAAACAGAAAAACAACTTTATTAGCATATGAGGCCATCACACAGGACTGTGTAATACATCATGAAACAAAGAGGCAGAGTCGTATACTCCTGTACTCAAGAGCTAAAGGAAAGACCTTCTGAAGTGCAGAGAAGGGAGAGGCATCCAGCAGGTTGAGGGGTTGATGCGTTAAGGCTTCCTTCTTACTCAGGGGGCATCAAAGCGTCTCTCTTTTAGGGCAGGGAACCCATCTGGTCAGCTGCAGCCCCCACGTCCCCTCCCTTCCTGACTTTCGTGAGGAAGGGGGCAGAGAGAGAGGAGAGAGAGGTGCTCCCATCTCTTGCTAGATATTCCTGATGGTGACCGCGAGGGTGCGGCGAGAGACAGAACAGGGAAGGGCCCGAGTGGCTAGTTTAAAGGAAGGAGTGGGCACGCCTCAGTCTCCATGAAACATTCCTAGCAGGACTGGCCACAGGATTGGACAGGTGTGCCTGAATGTGGATTCATCCTGTGCTCTCTCCCTCTGTCACACGGTTCCTCCTGTCATGGGCATTTCATAGCAGCAAGCACCCTAGTGGCACTTGCGTGGGTGCAGTGAGCAGGCTTGTCTGCCAGAGGGCACAGCAGGCAAGGCAAGAAGAAAGGCTAGACGTGGAGCACTCCTCAGGGTGAGGGTGCTCGGCGCTTACACGGGCCCTCTTCTG